AGTGAATAAACAACTAACAACTCAACGCTGATGGATTAAACTCTGGAATTTGAAATCTCATTAAAAAATTTCTTCTTTATTTCGTTTCATGAACTTGTCTATTATCGATTGTCTTAATGTGGGGTGGTAATTTCAATCAATGAATATGTGTCAAGTTTTACGTTACACATGACCGACTAACTGAATGGATTTCATTTTGTTCAGTAAGCTGGTAAAAAAAAATTATCCAGAATCTTACTCATCATCCCTTGCTCCTCTGTGTCCATCTGAATGTATTTTACGAATTTCCTAGCTCGGTTGTTTAAAAATGAGGGAGGTATAAAAAGCAAATAAGCAAGCATGCTTGATGCCTAAATAAATGCCTAATGAAGAATTCTCAGAAAACGGACATGATGTACTGCTGTATTTCGTCATCTGGAACCTGAACATTTTGCATCCCGGAACGACCAAACAAATAAACATTATCAAGTTTTAGTACGATGTAATTCTTTTTCTGCTACTTCTCTTAAATCACTATAAATACAACTGTACAGCTGGAGCCATTTAGTTTTCCCTTGTCTTTGTAAGTACCCATGTAGTGAAGGAGAAAACAGGTGAGGGCAACCGAATTGTATTTATCGCAAATTACAGAGTTACTCAGTAAAATAGGAAAACCATATCGTAAACGGTTAATTTGCAAATCTTCAATCAATCATCAATCCATTGTCTGACATTTCACTATTCATGCGTTTCATACAAATTCCATTATGTTCCCACTCTTCCTTTCTTCATCTTCCCCCATCTTGTGCTGCCAGACATTACGTTTACACTCGCGTCATATACTACTTATAAGTAGCTAGCACCACACCCAAACTATGCATAATCGATGGTCAATAAGACCTAAAAACAGATTTTTTCAAATGCTTTTATGTAAATAAATAATAAATAATCTTTTAGTTTACATTATTTTCATTGTTAGTATGATTAAACACTTTGTTCATAGATAATGCACTGTAAACAATTCACAGTAAGATACAATACACTAACGTTGATATCAAACTTATTTTCACCTTCACTTACATTTATTAACTCCTTATCTTTCATGTTCATACTTATCTATAGGATGAGTGTACCGGAAAAATGGGCTGAACATACAAAAGCTAATTTAAATCGTTCTCAAGCTGAACGTGCATCAAGTCGAACCATTCGTGAAGCAATTGAACATTGTCTAGGAACAACATACAATAAAATACGTGATTTATGGTCTGCAACAAATGCTTGCTTAGCTCAACGTATACAAGAAACAACAGAAGCTAAGAATAGAATACAAACTCAATTAGATAAAGTATGTTCTGATTCACTTTTCTCGGTTTTTTTTAATGTACTTTTGAACAGACAGACTATTAGGAAATATTCATCCTTATTACACAACCTTAATTATTTTTTTAGTATTATTTACACTACTAACAAAGAGTATAAGTAATAAACATGGTGCCGTAAAAGTTTACTTACAAATAACTGTGTAAGTACCTTCATTCATATTACTAATTTTAAACTGATGGAGTTTTGAAAATAAGGACTATCAATGAAAATTGTTGTACACAAACAGATCTACTGAAAATTCGATAGACCAATCATCAACATATATGCAACAATATCTGAATAACGAACAATCACATATGAAAATAGAGATGCACTTTTTAAAGAGTCATTTGTATGTAAGAAGGTTCTACATTGTTTTTCAATTATCAGTCACAATAACAATCTTGTCTAACTAACTAAAATCGCATGAAAATCGACTGGGATTCGACGCTTATTTCTACGTAGTTTTGATTTCTCAAGCCTACAACATATCCGTAAAATCAATTAATTACACATAGTTAAGACCACCTAGCAGTGAATACTATGTACTGCCTCCACATACATTTGAGTTCGTTCATATCTAATTCGGTTAAGCCTTTCGACTAACTTATTTGACCAAGTCATTTGTATCGCAACAACTTATATGTATCATTGACTTTTACTATTGTCTGGTTTGTATGAGCTGATACGACTGAACATTGTTTACCGCATACACGAATATTCATCCTACTAGATTTTAATGTTAACCTCTTAAATATTTTGATGACTCAGTCATTTTACTATGTATATAGATGCGCATTTTAGTCTTGTTAATTCATTCGCCGATTCGTTCACTCGCTAGGTTGCTTGCCTTTTACTCCGTGTTGCTGCGGTCTGTCATCTATTTGTGGTGTGCCAAATAAACGTATTCAACACTTGGTATTATCCTTCTGAATTATAAACCATGAGGCGCTATTTAACAACGATTGCCTGGACGAGCAAATTACGATGTCTAAAAACACGTTGGATACTGACCACTCACGAAACTAGTGAGACACTGGCAACCATAACTTATACCTTTAAAACGCCTAGTTAAACTCCTATATAGTATATACATTTACAGCAAATTCAATGTATTCTCAATTCTTTCTCAGTAATCATCCAATCCACATAGTACGCCTTCTTTTACTCTTTGATTTTCAATAATATCTTACCTATGCGATATCAATCCAAATTGTGTTACACATCCAAACTAGAGTTCAGAAAACTATGAATATTAAGTGTCTTTATCTTTACATTCAATTAAAGTGTAAATTAACTGACAAAATTATGTTTATAGATATATTTCTCATCACTCCATACAAACAAACTTACATTTAGCATTCAAAAGTAGTATCATATTAATATAATTTCTTTTACAAAACAATTAAATGACTGACTCATCTCATCTCATTCAATGAAAATAAAATAGTGTTTCTTCTCATTAACTGACTGACATTGAATTGTGATCTTGTTGTTTGATATGAAAATTGTCAAGGCTACACATAATTAATTAAAGCATGTTCTCTCTAGGGTGTTTGTTAAGTAGCAGAAGTAGTAGTAATAGTAGCAGTAGTTTTGTTGTTAGTTAGTAATAGAAAAGATATTTTAAGAGGTTTTATTAAAAAGATATTTTAAGCTTAATGTCTTTTTTTTGTATGTACAAACATGTTGACTGAAATTTGTTGTGATGCGTTAGTGTAAAATTAGTCGATCACTGAATGGAAAACTAACTAATGCCGTGTTTGTCGTCTGGTTACTAGTGTTTCATCTTTCTTCTACCAGCAAAAAGTGACCATTAATTAGTCTAATTGTGTCATTCATGATATTAGATGGTTGGAGTCGAATCCGACTGATGATGGCATTATTAGTTCCTATAAGATCATATGTAAACACTGTTGAGAGGCGACAACTAACATTGAAACTTTTGTTCCAAGGTATTAGGGACGTTAGATCACTAGAACTCACTTGAAAAAGGTCCTAACTTTGGATTTTTGTGTTTTCGCTCATGGGCTGCTCAGCTCACCTTGAGGTTACATTTCCCACTCGAGAAATCCTTGACTGTCATTGGTTGATGGATTATTTTAGTACGCTATTTTTTGTGGCTCTCCCAAGGACGTATCTATCATTGTAAAAATAAGCTCGTTTTGTGTGCTTGTGAGCCTCATATATTCTGGGTGCTTGTAGAATTCAGTTTCTACTCCTTATCAAGCAAGAATTCTTGCTACAGTTGGCAGGATCAGACAGACAGATACAACGCAGAACTTCTTACGTTCATTTCAGGTTGCCAAACCACATCACCACAGAGACGCAACTGTCCGTTCAAATCCAACAGTGATAGCAATAGCAGAAGTATTAGCAGTAATGGAAAAGATTAGGGAGCGAAGTTATGTTTCGAGAAGTATAATTCAGTAAGATAAATTTAGAAGGAGAAAGATAGAGATTATGAGGAATTCAGAAGGTTAGAATTTCATAGAACACAAACAGTGGATGCACCTGCGCCACTGCAAACGATTCTAAGCCATGTCGTTCAAGGTCTCTAATCATCGTTAACTTTCGTCTCGCGGACCCCAACCAGGTAGCCTACATCTACCAACATGACTCAGTCCACCAGTCAGTGACTTCATAGATTTCTGCCATGTTTTAGTTTGGCCGCCCCTAGCTTTCTTCCAACCTACTCCTACACTTCAAAGCATAGCTCGTCGTGGCAGTCGATGATTAATCATACGTAACACATGTCCCGACCGCCTGAACTGAAGTTTTAATACTTCATCTATTGATTTGCCACCCCAACCTAGAACTCGTTTCTTAACTACAGCATTGCTTATACAGTTGTCCCATGATACACAAACAAAGCTTCAGAGACATCGATGAGTTGGCAGGGTCGGGGACAATCGAATCAGAATAGCCTATCGTATCACTGGATCATTTATCTTCCCTCTCGTTTACCGACTAAGGTGAACTCGTTATTAGTTTCAAGCATATCAATTGACGAGCATATCACAAGGTATATTATCACTAATTTCCAATCATTTAAAATGAAATAATAATCCAATTACATGCTGATCTCTCGTGATACCATTACAATTTCAGATCGTTTGAAGAATTGTATCCTGAAATGTAAAAAAGTTTAAAACATCATCTTTATATTGTGACAGTCAGGAGGAATACTTTGAAGATTATTTGTATACCTCAATAACGACTTATCGCGCGAAATATCCTCTTTGGATATTTCATTAACTGATACTTTTTCTTATAGAAATTATTGTTAACTAATTCACATTTAGGCTTCGTTTCATAATTGGATATATAGGGAATCGAATAAACAAATCATATTACCACTTCGTTCCGTAAACAAACACCTATGACCATATCATTGTTGACTAACTTTACATGAATATGTTGAAAAATTGGGTCTATATTGATATGTTTAGCTGATTACTATTTGATTCTAACGCTATGCTTTCAGAGGTTTTATGACATTCTCTCGATCCAACACTTTGATACTTATCTAATCGGGCTCTTGTGTATGATCGTCTGATTTCACTGATAATAATGATAACAGATTGTGTTCTTTCACTAGTAGTCAGTATTCTCTTGTCCAGGTCACTTGTTCCTATTTTAAACCCCAACTGCCATCGTACAGCTGAGAGTAGGGAGAATCCATTTTCTCTCTCTCCTTCTCGGAATGCCTTCTTATAGCTGAGAAAATATAGCCACTGTCAGGAAAATTCTACTCACCCTGTCTAATAGCAAACGGAGTGATTTTCAGTAAATTAAGAGGACAAAAGGCAAATGTCCGACAGGGGCTTAAATCGAGGCAGTGAATATGAAAGATCCATCTATATGAACTGGAAAACACTTGTTCCAAAGCAGTGGTGCACGTAGGCTTTAAAATACTCAGAGAATATGAATATATTGTTGATCACTGGTTACCATGAGATTGTATCTGCTAACTTTGCTCCACTGCCATGTGGATTAGATCCTTTAGTCCAAGACTTGTAGAGCGACCACGTAAGAAAAGCACAATTTTCGGCTTTTGGCACCCGGACAGTACTTCAACCCATTCACGAACTCAATGATTAGTGTGATACCCCTTTGTATAATTGTCTTCATGTCACTTGTTCATGTCGCTAAATCCATCTCGCATTACTAAGGAACTTATGCCTTCAAAATTAAGTACACCGTTAAGCACTCTGGCCCGGCTGAGTTTCCATACATAAATATCTTACGTTGTTTCAGTTCATGAAAAATTCTCTCTTCATAATTTTCTGTAAACATATTATTTTATTTCAGGTTAATCAAGAATTATTTGATGTTGAGAAAAATATGGAATTTTTAAAACGATGCATTGCTGATAAACAAGCACCATTGAAAGTGGCTAGAACACGATTAGATTTACGTAATCGACGTCCAAATATTGAATTATGTCATGATGATCCACATGAAAGGTAATCAATCAATACAACTTTTTTTAATTGTTTATTTAAAATATGTGCTTGAAAAGATGCTAATGATTAAAACATACTTCGCAGGATCATGCATAGGCCGCTGACCAGTATTCTCCTACCTACTCTGTCCTGAGCCCCCCTTGCCAGTTCTGTCCAATTTTCGTTTATTTTTCTCGTGACTCATTTTTTTACTCACTTACTTACGTATTTACTTACGTCTGTTACCTCCAATGAAGCATAGGCCGCCGACCAGTATTCCTGGGCTTACCTTTCCAATCCTGTTCAGCTTGTGTTCATCCTTCTAATGTCTGTCTCCATTTCTCGTCGTAATGTTTTCCTTGGCCTTCCTGTTTTCCTTCTATCTTGAGGGTTCCAAGTGAGGGCTTGTCTTATAAATCAGTTGGATGATTTCCTCAATGTGTGTCCAATCCACTTCCACCGCTTCTTCCTCATTTCCTCCTCCACTGGAATCTGCTTTTTTCTCTCCCACAGTACGTTGTTGCTGATGGTGTCTGCCCAATGAATACGAAGTATTTTGCGTAGACAACTGTTAATAAACACTTGTATCTTCTGGATGATAGCTTTCGTAGTTCTCCAAGTTTCCGCTCCATAGAGTTGAACCGTCTTGAGATTTGTATTGAAAATCCTGATTTTTGTTTCGGTTGAAAGTTGTTTGGAGTTCCAGATATTTTTCAACTGTAGAAATGCAGCCCTTGCTTTGCCAATCCGCGCCTTCACATCTCCATCGGATCCACCTTTCTCGTCGATGATGCTGCCCTTCCCTTAAGGCATCTCCATCTAGAGTGATTTGGTTGGTGCATGTTCTGTTGTATTGGAGAATCTTACAATTTTATTTATCTTTAACCAATCCTTAGAATGAATTTAGAATAAATTTAATTAGAGATTTTTAAATAGCCAATTTCCGATATCACAGAGGGAAAAATGTCTGTTCAGTTGATGAACTACAGCATATATCATCTGGTGAGTACCTGAAACAAGTATATGTTAAGTATTCAATAGAACTTTCAGGCCACTTCAATGTGTAATTTACACTTGTTCTCATATAGTGAATATTGTATTAGTCACATGAAGTATATCGACACACTAAATTTTATGCCGATTTCAAAAGGCGACTTCAATATCAGTTAATTAGCTTGGATTACTGTACGCATATATACAGAAGGAGCTTATGTATAGTACTCTCTGTTCAGTTCGTAACCAGATCAACCAATCATTGATGCATTAAAACTTTAGTATTAAGCTATTTTTTGGTACAAACAAGTTTCAAATTTTTTTAAATATGTTGTGATTTAGAAGTTATTGACTGTTGAAGTGAACTGCCTAGAGAGATAGACGGTACAAATTACCTACCATGTTATTAGATAAACTCTTCAAAATCATTGTAATTTTAAATGATTGAGCAGCAAAATAATTTGGCTCCAAATCTTTGATAATAATAGTTCAGTTTACCTTCACTCTTTATCTTATATTTAGTAGATTTTGAATTTTCAAATCGTCTTGGTACTTTTTATCTTATTATAAATTCATATTTACTTTGCGGGGTTGTTGTGAAGATTGTTATGTTTTATTTGTAACCATGAATCGATCAATGTTAGACCACCATTAGAAGAAACCTGAAAGTATTGGACGGCCGTTTCGTCCTGGCATAGGACTTGTCAGCAGTGCGCATCCACGACTCCTGCCGTCCAGTGCTTCCAGGTTTCTATTGGTGGTCTAACATTGATCGATTCATATTTACTTCTCAAATCAGTTCACTTTTGCTTAAACTCTCGAAGTACTACTGATATGTTTTTTATTACATCAATTATTCTGACATTAGTTTTGGTAATTTCATCTTTCCCACTCTCTCTTCGTTTGTTTTGATGAAATGATGTGACACTTTGAAAGGAGACATAAACTTACAAGTTCTATGATGATTATAAGTGACTGATTTAAGAAATCATACGAAAATCATTGATATATAGATCTCCAATGGAGCGTTAGGCTACCAACTATTATTCTCCAACCAACTCTGTCATGAGGGCCTTTCTTTCAGCCCCAATGAAATTGCTCTTCTAATTCTCGATATAATAATGTGTTCTTTGATTTTCCTCTTTTCCTTTGGCTTCATGATGCAGTAGGGTGATCGATTTCTCCAGTCTGTGTCCTACCCACTTCCAGCGCTCTTTCCCAATTTCTTTCTCTGTTGAAATCTAGTTTGTTTCGTCCCACAGTGGTAGGTTGTTGCTAATGGCATTGTCTGGGCCACGAATCCGTAGTATCTTATGTAGACAAATGTTATTAAACACTTGGATGATAGCTTTTCCTGGTTATCCAAGTTTTCACCACTCCCATACAGTACAACTGTCTTGACATATGTACTGGAAATTGTGATTTTCGTGTTTTTGTCAATAATTGTTTTACGTTCCAGATGTTGTTCCATTCTAGCAATGCTCCCTTTGCTTTGCCACTCCCTGATCTCTTGACCATCTTTAACAGATTTATCACCTTGCTCATCAATGACTTGCTATTTATTGCCTTGTGTAATTTTACAAAATATTAAAATCTAGTCTAGCTGATTCACCTTCATCACCATTAAAGCTCGTTTGAACTCGTCATTTTTTTTAGTTTGCTTCAAATAATAAAAAAGTCAAGCTGTTCATTCATTCTCTCGATTATGGTGTGTGTGTGTGAGTGTGTGTTCGTGTATGTTTCTTTTCTATTTATTTCGACATGATAATCGAAATCGATCGACAATAAAAAAAAAATACTAAATCAGATAGGAATGATTAGTCATCGGCGTATGAATGTGTCATATTATAGTGATAATAATAATAGTAATAATAATAATAATAATAATAATACCAGTTTCAACATGATTTTCATGAAATTACTTTTCCATTTGTCTTATCCAGTCCAAATAAAGTATAGATTAGATTTGTAATCAATTTCTTTCATTTTGAAAAAAATTAAAAATTATCTAACATCAAAAAGTCTTGAGATTTGACCTTCAATGTTCAATAAATTATTTAACATCTACAATCTACAGGTGATTACTGGATATAGAGTATTGTAAATTTCAGTGAAGATTTCATGTTAAGCCTTAACTTCTATTATTATATGTTTGTTTTTCAACTAGCTAATTGTACTATACCTTAGGTACTTTAAATGACATTTCTAGATGAAAATAACACTTCATTTGTGCAATACTCCTCCCCAAAGTGGATATTTATTGCACACTTTTAGCGGCTTACGATTAGACTCCAGTGAAGATGAATGATCGAGTATGTGATGAAGTAAATTCATCAACAAAACCGTATTTGGCTTCTTACTAATACCGTCGTACAAACGAGGTTAGCCTCAGTATAATATACGGAAGTAAAAAGGAAGATTTATTTCATTGTGCACTCGATCATTCGTTCACACTTGGAGTCCAGTCGTAAGCTGCTAAAATAGTGAGCCCGACGTGATTCTCACCCGCGGTGTCCCAACGTGATGGTTCTAGAATACCCCACGATTACCATCGATTACCGAGAATTCCCGACGCGAAGAGTTATGTCGATGAAGAAGCTCTCGAACTTCATGTATTAGACCAATGAATAAACTACCGAAGACAATAGGTGAGGTTGTGAAAAATCTTTAGATTGTTCAAGGTTAGACATTAACGCCGCTAAATGCCGACTCAGTGGTCCAGAAGTTGCGCGTTTATACGCAAGACTGAAGGTCCTGAATCTGACTTCCACGAGCTACGGTAGTGGATGCGCATCACTCTGAATATTCCCATCCTATGACTTGATAGCTGTCCATTGGTTCCAGGTTTCTAATGGTAATAGTCTATCAATAAATAATTGATTCACAATTTCAATAATGAATAAAAAAAACATTTTTTTTTCAATGCAAATTATTTATATACAAATAAAAAGTTAACAAATTTGGGCGTATAAAAATGACCGCGCTACTTTTTTATTCAATGTTTCATATTTTTAATGTACAGATATATATATATATATATATATATATATATATATATATATAGTAAAAACGAATACTCTTTACCTACTACTACTACTACTATGATTAAAACTACTCATTTGTAGATAATAATTTTTTTTACTAGTTACGCCTAATTTATAACCTAGTTGATTGTAAATATTTGTTGTTATAGACCAAATAAGAAAATCTATAGTGTTTACTTATGTAAGTTTGGTCACTAAGTATGCTGCTTGAGGCTATTACGAGTTCACCTTAGTCGATAAACGCGAACGAGACAATTACCAGCGTCCAGATAGGCTACCTTGAATCCTAAGCTGAAGACAAAAGGCTTTGTAAGCGTAGAAAGTATATTCTACAAACACCCAGCAATCACAGTTCAATCAAGCACACAACTCATTTTTATTTATACATCATAGAAACGTCCTTGGGACAGTTAAGAAAACAGCACACTAAAATACACAGCAGCCAATCCTGGTAGGAAATGAAATCTCAAGGTCAACTGATCAGCACATGCTGGCAATCGTGAAATCCAAAATAAGGCATTTATCAAGCGAGTTTTGGGGATCTAACATCCTCAACAACTTATACTATGAAATAATGTTCACATCATAACTTCTTGTCTAACATTTCAGATAGATTTCTTTGTTATAAAAAAAAATTGGTTGGAGGTTATAATGGTTATAGTCATCGATATGAACAGTATACAAACGGTGATCATAATATTCACAGAAGCTATTAAAGCTCTTCAATTAAATCTGTCTAGCTTAGAAAACTGAACAAAAAATTTCCCGGTTATTGTAAAGTTTCCATTTTTATCTCAAGTATTGCTGCTAACTCTAGTCAGTTCAATTAAAACATTATTCTAAGAATGTTTGAGTCATTTAATAAATAACTTTTAGTAATGTATATACTGTCTGCATAGTAGTGCATTATCGATCGTAGTAATTTACTATGGTGAAAATAATTTTGAGATAGTGGAGAAACTTTTTAGCACAGGCGTATGATTG